GATTACTAGGAACGCAATTTCTTGATTCTAGAATTGTTGAAAAAATTCTAGTAACTATACCTGAAAGATATGAAGCTTCAATAGCAGCTTTGGAAAACACAAAGGATCTGAGTAAGATCACTTTGGCAGAAGTGTTACATGCATTGCAAGCATTAGAACAAAGGAGGCTTATGAGAGAAGAAGGATCCGTGGAGGGTGTATATTTAGCCAAATGGAAGAACAAAAATAGTAGCAAAAACAAGAAGAAGGAATTGTTTCAAGAGAACAGTCAACATAATAACACTCAAATTTTTTCACCATGTCCTTATTGCAAAAAGACTAATCATCCACAACAAAGATGTTGGTGGAGACCTGATGTAAAATGTGACAATTGTGGAAAATTAGGACACCTAAAACATGTATGCAAATCTCATGAGCAAGAAGAAGCCAACATTGTTGAAGATCAACAAGAAGAGGGAGAAGAAGAACTACTTTCAATGTCATGCTTTATGACCAAAAAACCCTCAAAAGCTTGGATTATTGATAGTGGTTGTACAAATCATATGACCTATGTTCGAGAACTCTTCAAAGAACTCAACAAAACTGATATCTCTAAAGTTCAAATGGGGAATGGAGCACACCTTGCAGTAAAAGGCAAAGGAACACTTGCTATTAAGAGTCATTCAGGTTTTAAATTAATATCTGATGTTTTATATGTTCCTGATATTAACCAAAATTTGTTGAGTGTTTCTCAATTATTAGGAAAAGGCTATAAAGTGTTATTTGAAGATAAAAATAGTGTGATTAAAGATATACACAACAAAGAAAGTATTCAATGTTCATATGAAAGGCAAAAGTTTTGCTTTAAATTTGGAGGAGGATCCACTGATGGGGTTATATTGTGGTATTTGTCTGAGATATTGTCCGCTTTGGGCCTTAGCCCTCACGGTTTTGCTTTTGGTCATCACCTAAAAAACTTCTCAATCATTGAAGTATGTTTGTATTATATAAGTTATTATTATTTGTCATATTTTATCAATGTGGGACTTATTTGTATCCCAACACTTTCTTATAAAACAAAGTAGCAAACCACTTCAAGGGCTTTTTTTCCATAACGGCGGAGGCCTCCAATAAGACCCCTATTCAAATTATTTACTATTAAGCCATTTCTTAAAGACTATAAATTAAGATCAAACAACACTAAACAAAGTCACTCTCACTCTTCTTCTTTCCTTCTTAATCTTATTGACCCATATTTACAAGCATGGTGACACTAGAAAAGATCCTATCAACAACATTAAATGTTAGAATCATAGGATCAAGTGTGCAAGGAAATCGATGGGATAAACCAAAGTGACAACTAACCATTAGTTTTTATTATCTATCGGTCAATGATTCAATGTGTTTATGCTGTTGTGTAGGAATTGGGATTGGCAAACGAGATTGCCATGTTGAAGAAGCATATGTTAGAAAAATTACTAGAATTGGAACTAAGTGAAGAAACCAAGAAGCTGAGGCTTTTTTTTTTGACATATCTAGCTTCTCCAAAGCCACCAAATCTCCAATTGTGGTGAACCTGGTCAAGTTCCACAATCAAGTTTGTGCTATACAGATAAAACAACTTCAATTTGCTAAACTTGGTCAATTTCCATGGCAACTTCCATTAAGAAAAGACTAGGGGACAACTCCAAGTACTCAAGGTTGGACAAGTTATCAATCTCAGCAGCAACAGTGTTATTCAATTAGCAATACTGAAGTTGAAGCTGCCTCACTTGCTGTAACCTGCCAATACTAGGTGGAACATCACCAGCAAAGTTGGTGGAACAACTGAGGTTGATTTATCACAAATTCGTAAAGGCACCAAATCCGTATAAATGGAAATCAAAACACCAAACAGATGAACAAGAAAAAACCTATATTATAGAAGAAATCAGAGATGATAAGAAATAGAGAGACAAATCAGGGATAAACCAAAAATAAATCACACACACAACCCTAGATTATGAGAGAAATCAGGTAACCCAAAATGCGCGTGGAGAGAGAGCTTGCACGACAGCGAGCGAGGGAGCGAATGACGCGAGCAACGAGCAGGGAGGGTCGCACGCAAACGTCGAGATTTTGAAATTCTAATTTTTTGTGTTGGAAATAAAAATCCCCTGCGTTTAGCTAATTAAAATTCTTACCGAAATTAAATTCCTCTTAATAAAATATCCAAACATGGAATTTTATTACAAAACTAATAATTATAATACAAGAGGCTGTATTATTTTATGTCGGTCCATGCATAGGATATGAAAGCTCACCTGCGCCACATGCGACTCCAATGCTATCCACAAGCAAAATTCAGGACCAGACTTGAACAACTGATGACGCTAACCACACCTGATCCTGACCATGTCCAATATCCTTTGTTCTCACTCGACCAATCAAAAATTAATTTCCATTTTCATTTTTTGGCACCAAAACTAACAGAATCTTAGTTGCAATGCACGAACGTTACAAACGCCGTCACTGTCAAGGACGGATCCCTGCCCTTGTCTAGGACACCCAATCAGAAATGAAAATTGCCATCACGCTTCCTATTGAAAACTGCTTTCGTACAGTATTTTATTATTATATACAATAGAACGGAGATAATTTGTATCTTTAATAATTATATATAAATAAATATTAAAAATTATGAAAAAGTATTTTTAAAAGGATATAAATTTTTATTTTTATATCTAAGAGAGATAATAATTAAAAAGTGAAATATGATTATCAAAATATATCATATATATAATTAGATGTCAGTAGATCTTTTTCTTAAATATATTTTTAATTAATTTAAATATAAGAAGTTAAAAATATATTTATTATTAAAAATATATTTAAGTTTTTTATATATAAAATATGAAAAGTTAACGATGTAATTTATACTTATTATAAAAGAAATATATTTTAGTAACTATTTTTATACTTTTACTTTTTAATAAATAATTATATCTTTTAAAATATTAAAAAAAATATTTTTTAAATAGTTATATATAATTTTTAATATTTATTTATGTATAATTATTAAAGACGTTAAGTGTCTCGTTCCTCAATAACCTTTTTATTTCTTCTGTAAAAGAAAAAAGAATATTTCTTTTTCCACGGCCAGTCAAGCAAGTTAAGCAACGACGGAATAGAATTTTCTTATTTGAATATTCCTTTTTTATCGTAAATAAATATTCTTTTTTTTATTCCTCTACTTGTGCTCTTCTTTCTTTCCTTTACTCGGAGAATAGCAAGCAGAGCCCGAAGGTTTTCACCTCAATCTCTTCTCTTCTATTTTGCTTTTTGCATACACACGGATTAACTTCTCTCTCACACTTGATTCGTATTTTCGAGATCTGTGCTTAAACCTTCACTTGCTTTGCCTTCTTCTGCAGACGTGCTTTACCTTGCGCCGGTGAGTTTCTATTCTACCTGCTTTCGCTTCACACTCGTACGTCGCCGTTTTGCTAGTTTTGCTTTCAGAACTGTATGCATCGGGTTTTGTTCTGATTTCGTTCACGACCTCGATCACTTCCTTTCCTTTTTCAGTGTTTGCAACTTTATCAAATTTTTCGCATGGATACTCGTTCTAAATTTTTTGTTAATTTTCTAAATTATGTTTTGAATCTAAAATGTAGAGCACTGCTCATCTGATTCCTTTGCGAAGCACGTTTGTTCTAACAATTTGAGGTGTCGTGTGGTGGTTTATCAAAACTCCGTTCCGTTCTGCTTAGTGTATGTTTTGGATTCGATGTTTCAATTTGATTAGATCTGCAGTCATTTCCGATTTTTTTTCCCCGATGGTTTCGCCCTGTTTTCGGTTCGTTTTTGTCGGTTTAGAAACGGAAACGTAAAACGTGTCCTGGATTGATTAAAAAAAAAATAGAGTGCGTGATTCATCTATATATTTTATATGAATAAGAAGTGTGGTTGATGCTCTTTGAATAGCAGATTTATTTTATTTACTGTTTCAGAAGGGCCACCTGTCATGGTTGAGATCGAGATGGATACCGAAACTGTAAGTAATTACTGCAAACAATATCACATTTGTGACTTTGCTTTGTTTATTAAATTAGATTGGAAAAAGAACCTCGGCATCCATATCTATATAATATTATTAAGATTTTAGTTTTGTGGCTTGTTCGCACGTCAAGTGGGTGATGTCGTTATAATATTAGTTTTTAGATAAGGTGTTTTTGATTATCCCAGAAAGGTTAAATTGGAAAATTATTTTTTATCTTTAGGTGTATATAATATATATATATAGTTGTGATTAAGAAATTGTGTTAAGCCATTCTATTATTGATGACTATTTCAGGCTGCAAATGCAAATGCGGCTCCAACCAATGAGACTCCAAAAAATGTTCCCATCTCTCATCATTCCTCACATCCTCCTCTTAATGAGAGGATTATTTCATCCATGACCCGGAGATCTGTTGCTGCACACCTGTGGCATGACCTTGAGATAGGTGAGAGCCAAGAAATTGGTGGAAAAGGTTGACGTGTTTCAATTATGATGAGTTGTGCTTCTTCGTTTCTTTTTCTTAATTGGTTTGCCATGGTAACTCTGTTTTCTTTCACAATGCAGGGCCTGGTGCTCCAACAATCTTCAATTGTGTAAGCATCCCTCAGTAGTAAAGTACACATTATAATGTAGGACACTTGTAGGGTTATAATGGTTAGAACCAAGGAAAATATTGGAGAACCTATATTTTCTGAGGGTTTTAATATGGTCAAGTAACAACAACAAAAAATGCCCGTTGCTCTGTTTTTGCTCCTTGCAAGCTACCGAAGTAATAGTTACAGATTTTGTTGTCAAATTCATAGCTAATGAAACAATTTTTTTCTTCTCTAACTTTTGATGCTATTCTGGTAGCATTAAATTGTATGTTAAGTTGTGGAGTTTAGTTGTGGTATTGTTATATTTTCCAACGGACCAAAAAAGAAGAACATAGATTTTTTTTCTTCCTAGGATTACATTTGAGCAGTTTTGTTATGCAATTAGACTGAATATTGCAGGTGATTGAGATTGGAAAAGGGAGCAAGGTGAAATATGAACTGGACAAAAAATCGGGGCTTATTAAGGTTGTAATAGTTGCTTAGTTATTTTCATTTTTACAATTACCGAGTCAAGTTGCTAAACACTAATCTATGCACAGATCGATCGTGTCCTTTACTCATCAGTTGTGTATCCCCACAACTATGGGTTTATCCCCCGCACAATTTGTGAGGACAGTGATCCCTTGGATGTCTTGATTATTATGCAGGTATCTTTTAATTCGTTCATTTATCAATTATTCCTTGTAAATCAGTGGCATCATGTATCTCTTGGAAACATTCAAATTTCATTGATATACGTTCCTACAATTGTCTGCATCTCATTTAATTTATATTATGAAATAATCTTTCTTCACTTCTAATCCATTTTAAGGACGGACCCTACCTTTAATACTAAGCTACGCTCTGATCAAACTTTAACCAGTTCAAGTTGATATCATATAATGAATTTCTCAATTTCAACTGATGAATAGGTCGAACAATGCTTGCCAATCATCCTACAGTTATGGATAGTCATCTTATATTGAATTTGTCTTAATTTATGTCATGTATGGTTTGTAAGATTCAAAACTTTACTCATACTTGAACAGGAGCCGGTTCTTCCAGGTTGCTTTCTTCGGGCCAAAGCAATTGGTCTCATGCCCATGATTGATCAGGTATATTAATCAGACATTCACATTTCCCACATGGCAATAACTCTTGATTATTGAATGTTGAGCAACCACAAATTTTAATGATATAAAGGGAGAGAAAGATGATAAAATAATCGCTGTCTGTGCTGATGATCCTGAGTATCGACATTACAATGATATCAAGGAGCTTCCTCCACATCGTTTAGCTGAAATTCGTCGTTTTTTTGAAGACTGTATCCTTCCAAAAATTCAAATTCTAATGTTTGGTTCACAATTTTTTATTTGTTAACATTAGACATGATGAAACCATTTAATCCCTTTGCTGCAGCATGTGAAATGAATGTTATATTTGTTTTCCTTCACAAAGGATTTAGACAAGAAGAATGAAAACAAGGAAGTTGCAGTAAACGACTTTTTGCCTGCCTCAGATGCTTTTGAAGCGATCAAGAGATCCATGTAAGCGACTTATCACTCATGAGTCATGACCAATCTGGAATCTAAATTGGTTCAAAAGTTTTGGATTGATTTATTTAGCTCTCTCCAATTCCGCATAATTTCCTATTTTCTTTGAAATAGTAGTTCTTTTATAAATAAAAAAAATTAAAAATTAAAAAAAAAGTAGTGGAAACTCTTTCTCTTAATTCCCGACATTTTGATTGTAATATTTTTTTAATGTAAAAATAACCAGATCACAATATTAGTGTCTTATAACATTTTTCTTTATTGAGAAGGAGCTTGTATGCGGACTACATAGTGGAGAGCTTGAGGCGGTAGCCATTGATGAATGATGCACATCAAGGATTTTATACTGTTGAAGGAAGACATTTGCTTGAAGGGCTGCATTATTATTATTATTGGAGGAATAAAAAAAACACTTTTTTACGTTAGTTGCATGTACCTTCCTCTTAGCACATGCGTATTCTACAGGTAATCCCAAATATTTTATCCCTGCAATTTAGTCATATTAGCACATGCATATTCTAGTCGTGTTTAATTTCAAATGTTTTAAGCACAGGGATGTAAAAAATCCATCCCAAACGCCATCGATAGAAAATAGATTTTGTAAATGAATGGAGTAATAGATATGGATAATTTTTATACTTACATGTTAATGGAACAGGTTTCTGTACCTGTGGATACTTTTTAGCTATATATTAAATTTGTTTAAATTTATGAGAATGAAATACTTTAACAATTAAATTTAGTAGATAGAAAATAAATATTATAAATGAATATTCATAAATAATGAGTATGAATATTATCTATACTTGCATGTTAGCGGGATGGATATATGTTCTTGTGAGTATTCGTTAATATTTAATTATATATTAAATTTGTTTAAATTTATAAAAATAAAGTACTTTCATAATTAAATTAAATTTTAAATTGAAGGATCTTAATTAATAAAATAGTGTATAATATTTAAATAATTTAAGTTTTGATTTTTAAACTATTATTTTTTTATAAAAAAAAATAGAATAAATATAAATTATTATTAAAATATTTTTAAAATTTATTTATTATTTTAAATAAATGTTTATGAATATCTGCATATATTTGTGAATATTGGTAAAAAAAAATATAGGATATTCGTTTAATAAATATTTATACAAATATGAGGATGAATTAAGTGGATATTTATCCGATAGAATGGATAACGGGGTGACTACTACTCATACCTATTCTGTTTTGTTGCTGTTGAGATCCTTATTTATACTTGTATAGTTTTTTCTTCTCGCCATTTGAATGTTGATTTTTTTATGGGTTTTGTTATGATGTGAAGAAAATAGAAGTAAAAAAAATGACAAAATATAAAATTTATTTAATTTTTCTTTTTAAAATAAATTAAAGTATTTGACAAAATATATTTAATATTTTTTATTTATAAGTTTTTAAAATTTATATTAGCAAATTTGATTTTTGTTACTGTAACAAAAAAGTTGATTTTTAAATTATTCTCATGATGGATATATGTTAAAAGAGAAATTCTATGGTACCTATTTTATTTGAGAGGGTACCGGTACAGTTTTTTATAT